TGGGTTGCTGCCTCCTCTGCGAGGAGTCTCTGCGCCATCTGTTCCTGTACATCGTCATTGGCCTTATCCACCCTGGCCTGTATCTCACTTAACTGAGCTTCCACTTCCATGCGCCTGGCAGCTAATTCATTCACCTGATCGACATCAATAAGGATCAGAGGCAAGATGATTTAATCATTTGTGCTGAATTGGTAAATTCACCCTTTTTTAACAGCAGCCAAACCACTGACTTGCCTGATGAGATGCATCGACAGACTCATCCTGAACGAGTTTATATGCTCCCTGTATATGTCCCAGTTCAAGCTTCAGCTTTTCAAGCTCTGCACTGATATCATCCTGCATTGGCACAGGTTATGAGAGCAGAGCAGAGTTAGAGTGCAATCCACAAAACATACCATATTCCATTCACATCTTTTTCCAGCGCAACAGTAAATTTGGCTAATTAAGGAATGCATCTATAATAGCCTAATTAAGGAATGCATCTATAATAGCCTAATTAAGGAATGCATCTATAATAATTCAAGATCCATAAGGCACGTGCGAACTCCATAGTAACTCATTACCAATCGGATTGGAGGAAAACAAACTACTGTGGCAAAGTTAGCGAAAAAACTGGGAATCTTTAATATGTTAAATGTTATCTGGGAAAAAAATCAAAACAAAAGCTATGGGTTGGACGTGTAAATATAGTTTCAATGAAGACGTTCATATAATTAAAATCCTGTCAATAACCAAGAAATTGCACCACTAACCTTGTTCTCTGAAAGCATTAATCCCAGCAGTGAATTTTCTTTTGTTGGCACCTTGCCCGAACCCTGCAATTAACCAAAACAAAAGCTATGTGTTGGATGTGTAAATATAGTTTCAATGAAGATGTTCATATAATTAAAATCCTGTCAATAACCAAGAAATTGCACCACCAACCTTGTTGTCTGAAAGCATGAATCCCAGCAGTGAACTTTCTTTTGTTGGCACCTTGTCTGAACCCTGAGATTGACTTGATATAGAGCTTTGAGCACCAGTGCATGGGGTAATTTTTCTGTCCTTGTTGGCATATACTGATTCATTTCCAGTGATATAATCATATAGATTAAAACCTTCAACAGAAGAAATACTTTCAAGGTTCTCTGATGCCAAGTTGGAGCGTGGCACGCCCCGCCCTGAACTGTCATCCAAATCTGACGAGACAAGGGAACAGGTAACATTCAGATGATGAGAAGGGGAAATAAGCAACTCCAACTTGTCTATCTTTGCATTTGATATTATACTTTTAAGCCAAGTATTAGAAACAATAATAGGCTTATGTCTTCATGCAAGCTTGCTGCAGTTTCACAGTTCCAGCAGCAATGAGAAATGCGAAGGAATATACTGCACGCCAAAGATGCACAGGAAGGGAACAATACGTGAGAAATATTTGATGGTAGCTTGACGACTATGGGGCCTTACCTGATATTGAGGAATCTATAAATTCTTCGGTCTCGGAGCTCCCGGAGTTGCCTTTTGGTACTAGAGAGCCAGAGGGCGAGCCACTTTCTGATTCAGAAGCATAAACTGAAGACAATCCATCCTTTGAAACAACATATGCTGTGCAAAAGCTGGGGACACTCTTGCAGATTTTGGAGGACGTCCTAGTTACACTGGACATCCTATAAGACATATATCATCCAATGATCAACAGGAGCATGCACAATAATTATTATTCACCACGAATTAGTACAGTACAGGTATGAGTATGAGTATGAGGAGCTACCTAGTGAACGGGATCATGCTGGAAGAGTTACCGACAACGAGGATCTGTATCTGGTACTGAGAAACAAGACTGGAAATGGTATCCGCGACATCGTTACCCTCAACAAGCAGTACTTGAGCTTCAACCTGGGCCGAGTAAGTAAACAAATTAATTCAACCAACAGAAAAGGGGTTGATTCATCCAGTCAGCCTATAATAGGAAATGGAGATGTGCTTGTTAAGGCAAGTCAACCTGTGCCAAGTAAGCAAGCAAATAAATTCAACCAACAGACAAGGGGTTGATGCATTCATTCAGTGTAGAATATGAAATGGAAACGGACTACTTGTTGAGTCAAGTCAACCTTAGCCAATTAAGTAAACAATTAAATCCAACCCACATGCATTTGAATTAGCAAGTACTCCCTCTGTAAACAAATATAAGAGCGTTTAGATAACTACTTTAGATCTAAACGCTCTTATATTTCTTTACGGAGAGATTCAACCTGAGCCAAGAAAGTAAAGAAATCAATTCAACCAACAGACAAGGGGTTGATGCATTCAGTCAGTCAGTCTAGAATAGGAAATGGAAACATGCTCCTTGTTAAGGCAAATCAACCTGTGACTAGTGAGTAAACAAATAATCTAGATGTGCTCTAGTTATTGCACATCTAAGTGAGTGAATCAAGCATAAAGAGAAAAAGAAAAAAGAGAAAGAAAATATTCACACGAATCTCAATGTAAGATCAATGGCATATGACTTAGATGTGCAATACTTATGGCACATCTAGATGTGCTTTAGAAATAAATTCAACCAGCAGACAAAGGGGTTGATGCATTCATTCAGTCAGTCTAGAATAGGAAGTGGAAACATGCTCCTTGTTAAGGCAAGCCAACCTGGGCCTAGTAATAAGTAAACAAATAAATTCAACCAACAGACAAAGGGGATGATGGATTCATTCAGTCAGTCCAGAATAGGAAATGGAAATGGAGTAGTACTTGTTAAGGCAAGCCAACCTGATCCAATTAAGTAAACAGATAAATCCAAGCAACATACAAGGGGGTCGATCCATCCATTCATTCATGAATTCATTCAGATTCAGTCTAGAACATGAAACGGAAATGGAGTAGTTGCTAACTGAAACCACCTTGTTTTCATCACATGTGTCTTTGCAGCGGAACAGCATTTGCTGCTTCTTGATCCACTTTTTCCCGAGATAGTCGTCGAGGACGGTGGACTTGACTTCATCAATCGGGAGGCGGCCCCCCACTGAAGGCAAGCCGCACACAGGCACAGGCACAAACAGATGGTGAGCATGTAGCGGAAGCAACTCAAGCGGGCGGAAGCGACGAGGTAAGAAGGAGCGGGGCGTGCAGAGGTGCAGCGTGCGTACTTGGCGTGGGCACGGCCAGGACCGGGGTGAGGACGTGGATGAGCTTGAAGGCGGGAGGCGCGTCGTCCCTGGCGAAGTTGGCGAGCGCCCACTGGAGGACGTAGGCGCTGGATTTAGAGCCGCCGAGCGCCAGCCCGACGACGGTGGGCGCCGCGCCCGCTCCGGTCCCGTCTCCCTCGTTGGCGGCCATCGGTGGATCAGCCGCACGCCCTGTTCATCAGCGAGAGGCAGGGAAATGAAATCGATCAGCAACAGAAGCAGGAAATTACCGACGCGCCCTCGTCGGAGAAGAGCGAGAGAGAGACAAGCACAGGGGTTCCGCCGCCGCGGATGCCGCGCGCGGAACCGCCGACTAGACTAGGGTACGGCCTCTCGAGCCGAGCAGAGCAGTCGAGCGCGCGCGCGCTCTGGTCGGGGAAGAGCGAGCGAGCGAGCGAGAGGTGCACAGGGGTTGCGCCGCTGCGTCTGGCGCGAGAAGCCTCGCCTCCGCCACCGCCGACGACTAGGGCTTCTCGAGCGAGCCGAGCGGTAGCGGTCGCGCGCGCTCTGGGGTAGGGGGCGCGGCGCGAGCGAGCGGCGGAGGGGTTTCACATGCATTTGGTGGGGGGTGCGGCGGGGCTTACCCGTGGAGCGCGGGCGGCGCTTCACTTCGGCCGGCGTCGGCGTCGGCGACGGCGACGGCGAGGCCCCCGGAGCGGAGGAGGAGGAGGAGGAGAGAGGAGGGAAGCTACGCTACGGCGCGGCGGTTATGGAAGAAGAGAGCAGAGGGGTGCGGAGTTTGTAGGACGGAACGGACCTGGTCGCATGGGCCACGCTGGCTTTGTGGGCCGGTCAGAGTGAAAGCCCGCTTCGGTTGGCCAGCTGGCTGTTGGGCCCATCCATTCCTTCCTTGCTCTAGGGCTCGGCTCGGCCCACCCACCTCCGCTCTGCCCCCCCTCAAAAAAAAAAAAACTGTCGCCGCTGCACGCTGAGCCGGACCGCCGCTGGAGGGGAGGAACCGCGGTCGCCGCCGGCCGCTGGGAAGAAGATGATCTCGCCGGACGGCCGTGCGCTGCTCCCTTCCGACGAAGAGCTCCGACCGGAGGTATACCCCTCCGCTTCCGTTCCTCCACCCCCGAGCTGCTGAATCACCATGGATTCACTCCCCTATGGCAACCCAGGCCTGCCTCCCCTCCACTTAATCGATCCCTAGCTCTAGCTCATTTGACTCCCAACAGGATTTTCCTTAGGATTTAGGGTCAAAGCAGCAACCACTAGTAGCATTTCGATTTCGTTTTTGACAAGGCATGAATAATAACCTGTAAATGCTAGCTACAATTCAGTATGTGGCATGTTTGTTTCTCTGTCTGAGTGGCATGCTGCCATTGCTTGCCAATTTCACTGCACAGGAAGCTGGACTGCACATGAGCACATTGATCTAGTCAGCAGTCTTGTTTCATGACAAATATGATGTGAGTAAATGAGTGCCCTCACAGAAGAGACATTATCTGAGTCCCAAGATAGATAGATAGATCATTGCACTTTGATGAAAACCCAATCATCATATATAAGGTGGTTTCTTTCATATACAGGAGCACAGGTGAGGGCTTGTCTTCTGACATGCATCTCTAGTTATAAGCAGAGCTTACAAAACCGTATCTTATTTAGTCAAGCTGCTCTGCAATATACTCCTACCTTATTACTTTCTGCCATTCCAAACATCAACTTATATATAGGTTACATTAATTCATTCATACTCACAGCTGCACTGAACTATTGACTTGAGTTAGGATACATACAGTATATATATATTATGGCTATATGAGTACCTCACCTTGTACATGCAGATATACTAGTTCATCATTTCTGGGTGCAGGTTTTACACCCCCCAAAAGAATGTCACTAACTGCTATGTGGTGTGGTGGACATGGCTATGGCTCCTGCACCAGTTTGTGCCTGATCCACCTCTTCTTCCCCCTCCCCAATTATCCTCTTCCAGAACCAGTGCTTCCTCCACACCTGCTCCATCTGCTCCATGGGCAGCTGCTTCGTCTCCGGCAGGAAGAAGAAGACGAACAGCGTCATCACGCACACCCACCCGCCAAACAGGAAGAAGGTGCCGAACTTGAGATGGCACAGCATGTTGAGAAACGTCTGCCCGATCACAAAGGTCATCAGGAAGATGACCGCAATCACAACGCTCTGCCCTGCCGACCTGATCTCCAGCGGGCAGATCTCTGTTGGCACCAGGTAGGTGAGAGGTCCCCAGGACCAGGCGAACCCTGCCACGAACACGCACATGATGATCAGGACCAGGTATCCATACTCCTTATCCATGACTCCATGGTCCTTGAACTTCACAGCCAGGATCGCACCGACAGTGAACTGCGACAGGATCATCTGAACACCGCCTACCAGCAAGAGCTTTCTTCGCCCGAACTTGTCGACGACGATCATGGCCACGATGTTGGCGACTGTGGCGCAGAGGCGTGTCACGACCGCTGACATGAGTGCTGCACTCTCCCCTAGCCCAATGGTCCGGAACATGACCGGCGCATAGAAGTTGATCACGTTGATTCCCGTGACCTGGTTGAAGAAAGGAATGAGGAGCGCTATCACGAGCTGCGGCCTGTACTTCTTCTTCAGGATGTTCCGGTACGGGTTCTTGATTGCTCTGGATATGTTGCTAGCGGTGACCAGATCGTCGAGCTCTTTCTGAACCCCCATCGTGCCACGCAGCCTCTGGAGCATCATCTTCGCCTCGTCGACATTGCCATCACGCTGGATCAGGAAGCTCGGGGTCTCAGGAAGGAAGATCGCACCGATAGTCAGAAATGCAGCGGGGACAGCAGCCATGGACAGTGATATCCTCCACCCCCATCCTCCTTCGATTTTCTGCACTCCATAGTTGATAACGTTCGCAATGAGGATGCCGATGCTGATACAGAGCTCAAAGCCGTTGTTGATGGCGCCACGGTACTGCGGCGGCGCCATTTCCGAGAGGTACAGTGGAATCGACTGCAAGGCAATTTACTCATTAGTTAGTTACCAGTACAATAGAAGTCTAACCTGCAATTATCCTGAAAAAGATATACTTGTAGGACACATGAATATCCTTTCTAGATTGTGTATGAAAAGAAAATTCAGACAGCATAAAGTTTCAGGAGATAGCATCTTGTATTTCATTTTTGCAAAAGCATATCACAAGGAGGACACATGAATATACTTTCTAGATTACGAATATGAAAAGAAAGTTGAGACAGCATAAAAGTTTCAGGAGAGAGCATCTTGTATTTCTCTTTTTGCAAAAAAAACATGTTGCGCTGGTGGTTGCTTTTGGTGATGATCATAGTGAACTTCATTTTCTGCTCTTTCACGGATGTGAATGGTCACCACTTTAGCAGGTTGAGATACTGATCTATTTTGTTGGTTTCTTCCTGGTTTGATCTAACGAATGAATCCCGGTATTTTAATTAAAAAGAAATAATCCATCAAATTCCCCAAAATAGAAATTGTACCAATTCATTCTGGCGACATTTAATAAGGGTTGAAATTTTGACTTGTGGGCTAAATTGTCGCTGTGTCCATGAAGAAGACTGCTGACTTGACTTTGATTTTTGCAGCTATAAACTTGAAATATCCCAAACGTAACATTTCCGTTCAGGCAGCACATTGCTGTAGCAAGTTGAGACACTGATATATTTTGTTGGTTTCTTGCTGTTTTTCTCTAATTGCCGAATTGCCGTGTTGTATATAAAGTAGAAAGAATCCATCTAATTCCCCAAACTAAAAATTACACCAATTCATTCTGGCCACAATAATAAAAGATTGAAAAGTTGACTTGTGCTGACTTGACTTTGATTATTACTGATGCGCACTCTCAAACGGAATATTTTCCCTTGAGGTAATTCTATATGATAATATGAATGAATAATCTGTGGACAGTACTAATGAAGTGTGTAGGTGTGGTGCCACTTGCCAATTTTGACAAGGACAAAAGTGGATCCACAGTGAGACGGTGACCGCAACCGGTTGCTTTCTGGCTAGACTGGAATGGTGATGTAAGAAAGGTACTTGCAGAAAACGAAGTCCACTAAGTAATCTCGGGTGTGTGTGTGCGCGTGGAAGCTTTGATGAGGACAAATTACAGAGCGACGTCTGCCTCTCGTGATCAAGTTCGGTACCAAGTGTCAAAGTCAATGGATCATGGACTTGCTTGTGACTGGAATTTTATTTAAAGACTAGCTAATTAATTGAGCATGTGACACTTAGGGTAGGGAGTACCTGGTTGGTGAATCCGAGGCCGATGCCGAGGAGGATGCGGTTGACGAGGAGCATGTAGACGTTGACGGCGGCGCCCCCGAATGCGGATCCGGCGATGAAGACGGAGCCGCCGATGAGGATGGAGGCGCGGCGGCCGTAGCGGGTGGTGACGGTGGAGGCAAAGAGGGTGGCGACGAGGCCGGCGACGTAGAGGGAGGAGGTGAAGACGGTGAGCAGCTCGCTGTCGAAGCGGCAGTAGTTGGAGACGGCGGCCTTGTCGCCGTTCATCTGGTGGTACACGTCCGGGAAGAATTTCTTGAGGAACGACTCCATGGACGTGACGCCGCCTGTAGTGTGTATTCAGTGCATCCATCAATCAACATCAGAATCACATCATGTTTGTATGCAGGAGTACATACAGTAGTTATTGTTAACTGGGTTGGCTAATCACATCGTTCACATCTTACTATGCATTGGTGTGCTGCTGTGTACTAGGATTAATTAATTAGTTTTTTTTTGACAGGTTTTACTGGAAAAAAAGTTTGACAGGTGGTACTACTAGAATTAAGTAGTACTCCCCCTACTTAATGATATAAACACTCTTATATTAGTTTACGGAGGGAGTAGTGTAGAGTTGAGACGGTGAATTAAGCAAGTCATGGTGATGAGTTGATCATCGCAAGAAGAGATATACTACTCCCTCCGTCCCATAGCCCATAATGTAAGACGTATTTTCTTTCTTGACACTAGTGAAGAAAAAGAAGTCATGTTGATGAGGTGAATTTGTTGGTAGCAAGTGGTGGTGGTGAACGAAGGATCATGCGTATGGGTGCAGAGGAGGAGTACGGGCAGTGGGTGGGTAGGTGTTAAATGCCTCCTCATTCTGAGGAACTCCCCTTGAAGGGGGGAAGGAAGGAATGCGAGCTAGACGAACTAGTCTGCTCGGTGGAAGAATTGCAGGAGGAGGAGGATGTAGCTAATAACCTGAGATTCCGAGGTCGTAGCCGAAGAGGATGCCGCCGCTGCCGGCGACGATGCAGGAGAGGACGACGAAGGAGGTGACCCGGCCGCTGTACCCGGCGCCGCCCGCCGGGCCCTCCACGAACGCCCCCCCTATCGCCATTGATTGATTAATTCTTGGCTGGAGTTGGAGATGAATTTGGGGGGAAGGGGAGAGCTCAGCCAGCAGCAGTGGGGACTGAGCCAGTGAGAGCCCCTTGGGATGGGATGGGAAGGAAGGGGTCGTGGGGTGTGCCTATTTATTATCGTGACCCGTCAGCTACCTATGCTTCTGGTTCGGTTTCTCTTGTCCTGTGTGCGTGCGTGCTTGGCTGGCACTTGGTCCGTCCGTCCGTCCGTCCGTCCTAGCAGATGTTTACAGCCGGGCCCGGCGCGGACGGATGGGTCTCTCGGGTTGGGTTGGGTTGGGTTGGATGCTTATGGCCGACGGTTTGGCCTTGCCTCCCACCGCCAGCGCCAGCGGCACGAGGACGTGGTGTGGGGACCGCACCTCAGCCTCACTCACATCCACCAGGACCAATCAGTTTAGCGGTCTCAAATTTTGTCTAGCGTTGGCTTCTTCGGTTTCGGTTTCGGTGGGTAGGTAGGGGCCACGTGTCGGCGACCCGGTCCTCGCTCGACTTGGAGCAACTCACCGAGCATGCCACGTGCTGTGTCACTCCGCATTCATCACTCTTTCTTTTAATAACGAAAAATAGTTTAAAAAAAACCTCATCACTTTTTTTTTGCGGCAAAACCTCATCACTACAATGTACTCCATACATCACAAAAAATGTCTCTCTTCATTACAAAAATTTAAAAAAACAAATCTCAAGGTTCATAAGAAATACAGCGCATCATATCATAGACATAATAAAAATCACCTCAAGGACCCTACATCACTAAACAGCCACTACGCCACTAGTACAAGTCGCTTCCCTACCAAAGCCAACTTTGACTTTGTCAATGTCCAAGGACCAACACCCCCCGAGTTGCAGACATCGTTGTTGAACCATTTAATCGATGCGAAGCGCCTGGCGTCAAATCTTGTCGTCACGCATGCACGGTGAGAAACCATAGCTTCGTCGCCGAAGGAGACGGGAGCTCCATCGAGCCAGCCCCGATTGACAAACTCGAAGAGGATTGGAACCCGAAAGGCCAACTCGAAGATGAAGGGCTCGTCGGCGAAGCTTGGAGGGGGTGAGCGCCGTAACCACCAGCCATATCTTTACTAAAGTTAATGTAAATGTAATAACCCAAAAGAAAAAAAAACAGAAACTCTTCCTATATCTTCTCTTTCCGCTTGCAGAAAACCGGACGTAAACTACTAACCGAAGCATAGGGGAGATGGATCCACGAGCTCATCGGCAAAGCTTGGAGCGGGTAAGTGTCCTAACCGCCACAGACACGAGAGGAAAGGAGAAACCAAACCTTTATGAAGATTTTTTTTCTTGCGAGGGATCATAGGGTTTATTATTCCAAAGTGTTAACACATGGAGGGGATTTCCCACGCCAACAAGCCGTATTATTCCCGGTTCTACCAAGTTCGCTAAACTATTTGCAGCTTTGTTCTGTCGACGAAGAACTTTAACTGGAATAACAAGCCTATCATTCAAAAAAGCCTTGATCTCAGACATCAAGTTGCCATAAACTGATCTATCCAAGGAATCATCGGAGGGCGCTTTGAGAGCCGTATTATGAAGTGAATGTAATAACCAAAAAGAAAGAAAACTCACACTCTTCCTATATGGCTATATCTCATCTTTCCGTTTGCAATAACCTCTTCCGAAAGAAAACACAATTCTCATTTATCCTAGCTGAGCATCTCTCTCTCTCTCTCTCTCTCTCTCTCTCGCGCGCGCGCGATGCACACATTTGCTTTCCTTTTCTTTTTCGAGACGTTTAGGCAAGGGCATGCATCGCTGGAACATACCATGCATGAGTTGACTTAGGGTAAGTACAAAGTGAACACAAGCACGTAACTAGGGACGAAAATGTGTTTCTACCGTGCACGCTATGTAGCGTTGAGCAGGGGTGGAATTCAACTCTAGTCCTCGACTAATTTCACGTTGGATAAACGGTGTTATTACTAGTGGTTTTTCTGCATGTCATTTTAGTGAGGAGCATGCATGGCATAGATCGATCCAGCTAGCTGCGATCGACAGGACTTACTTTGCACTAGTGCATCACTACTACAAAAGAAAAGAAGGCAAGGACGGAAGATTCTACACATATACTACCACCCAATCCCACACACCTGGCTTGGCTGATCCCTCTCTCTTTTATCCCTTTCATGCTTTGGGGCAGCAGCACAAAGGCAGGAGTATCCAGCAGTATGAGACGTACACATCATCGTTAACTAATTAACAGGGGATTTGGGCATGGATTGGGTCTGACATAGGGCGTGTACGTAGTAGGTACACGAAACATCATCGACGTACGACCGACGATTGACGAGACAGTAGAGATTGCACTGCATTTTCTTTAGGGAAGACGAGATGATCCATCCTTTTCATTTCATTGTCTTTATGTTGCTGTTCGATTTTTGGTACACAACACAAACGTAAAGCTATAGCCACCGATGATGGTGCACTCTCACCTTTGTGTATGCGTGGATCGTCGCGTGACCATATACCCCTAGATCTAGATGACTAGATTGATACGCATAAAGATGATGATCGAGCTGGACCTTCTAGAATGTAGCTTTGGTCGTACGCAGATCAACAAACAGAAAGACAGATCACTAGTATCATTCTCGCTGTGGAGAGTCGTGTTGGCGACGTGGCATTCGTTCGATGTTGGTCATCGGCATGTCATGTGATGCAACAGGCGAGTCTCTGCTCTTCCCATAGCGGTCATGGCTTCTTCTTTTTGAGGCGGTGCGGGGCGCGCGGTATGTTTCGGTGCTTGGGGGTGGACTTGGGCCGTGTTGTATCGGTTTCGTCCGTTTTTCCTTTGTTAATTAATCATCAGAATCAGACAACTATCTCCTGCTTAATTAATGGATGCGTTAAATCTTATGTCTTTCGTTTCGGGGGAAAAATTCATACTGAATGCAAAGTTGTCCTAAAAAAGGCAGTTTAGCGAATTATTACCACGACGATTGGTAGTACAAAAAATATCCAGGATGAACCAACCACAATTTTCTAAAAACGACATATCAAGCATCAAATCTCGTGGAAATAAATAGGGATTGCAAAACTAATCTAATAAAGCTCCCCGTGACCGTCCAGTGCTGGAGGAGTGGTATGATGATGGCGATGGCATCATGCTGCTTGATTGTGTTCATCAGGTGACCAGATAGTGTATGCCCGTGGTCGGGCCGCTTCTATCCGCCACCACCTTGAGCACACTCTCGCCATCACCCTCACCGCCAGGCTGAAGAGGCTGCTTCTCGAGCACGGCGTATGCGCAGTACTCCACCTCGTAGACCTCCATGCCCGTCGCCCCGAAGCATGCCACCGACGAACCCACGCCCTCCCCTGCAGAAACAACAAACCACCTCAGCTTGTAAAAATGGGATCAATAGAATACACCTGATCGGTGGCGTGATTGTGGTATACTGAATCTCAACTGTTATTTTGCTATAGAAGAGGCAACACGCTTTGGAACTCACCGTGTGTTACTAAGAGTAAGTTCTCGCCAGGATATTTGTCGGCGAGAGCCTTGATCACGCTAGCGTATCTGATTCTGGCCCCCCTCACAGACTCTCCCCACTTGGGTACCTGCATTGGAAAAAGATGACAGTTTCAGGTATCTGTGATGGATTTCTGCGACAACCTGTTTGTCGGTCTGTGCAGAAAAGCAGACACTGGGGATTAACGGTGACTTAACAGATGGTTACTGGCTGTGTAAATGGATGTTGACAGCAAAAAGGAAAGAAATCACAATTCGTGGATCAAGCTGACCTCCGGGAAGAGAGGTTGTGTAGAATGGTCGATGGTTCCAGGTGGCAAGACGGCTTCGAGTTCTGCCAAGTCAGGGAACCACTTCTCGACACTGGGCGCGACCTGGCTGACGAGAGCGCCCATCGCTTCAACATTCATCATCTCAGACAGTCCATACTCGATCGACACCTGAAATTGTCAAAGAGATTCCTTATCACTGTACATAACTGTTGACTGCAGGAACAGCAAACTTGAGAGTTCAGTCTCCGCACTAGTTTAACCAATCTGCAACAGAAAATGCAGTGAGGGTAGAAGCAGCAATCGCATGAGAGTACACTAAGCATACAACAGTTGAACCTCAAATCCACGATGCAACTCGACCACGGTGGCAGGACGGTAGAGCTAAACTAATGCTACAATCACCCTAAATCAGTATCTCTGTTCCAACAAGTTAAGTTTCTTTCAGAGAATCAACTTGAGTGAGTTTAGGTGTGTGGCACATAAAGAACCTTCAGTTCAGGTTTAAGCAATAGGAAGTTAGGAACAGTCATTTACCCCAGCTATTCATCGGCTATAAGGACGCAAATCGGAAAGCTAAACTGTTGTTAGGATTTACCCTAAATCAAAATGAGTATCTGTACAAACAGTCAGTCAGTTTAACTTGGCTTGAGTTCAGTTAACTGAAAGTCTGAAACCTCTGTGGTGTGTTTCAGTTAACTGAAAAACAAGTCAAGTTCAGGTTTGTTAACATGGCGCAGATCCAACCAATATCAACGCGAGCATGAGCGAATGAATCCAACACAGAGCAATGGAGGGAGGAGAGGGGAGCGAGGAGGAAGAGAACAGACCTTGACGCGGGAGGCGTCGAGGGGCACATTGGCGCTGGAGTCGAGGACGGCGGCGAGCGCGGCGTCGTCGGGGACGGCGCAGAGCGCGGCAACGGCCTGGGCGGCGGTCTGGAGGCAGCGGTGGAAGGGGGAGACGAGGACGCGGTGGAGCGCGTAGCCGTCGGCGGCGGCCTGCGCCCGGATGCGCTTGCCGACGGTCCAGGCCCGGAGGACGCCCGCGTCCGTCAGCGGCGGGTCCCACGGCCGCGGCTTGTTGGCCGGCCACATGGGCTCCGCGTGGTCCAGCCGGTCCCCGTGCCGCATCACCACCACCCGCTGCTGCCCCGCCGCCGCCGCCGCCGCCGCCGCCATGGACGCCGGCCGGTCAAGATCAAGCCTTTCTTCCCTCT